CAGAAATAATGGAATGGTCTCATAAAGTCTGTAGTGGGCACTAGTTGAAAGATGACTGCTCCAAAGTATTCGGTGGTGTGTGAGTAAGACTCCCATTACTCACGATGTCCCAACTCATTTCTTCTTTGTCTCAAAAAGTCAGTTTAACAACAATGGACATTGTTGGGCATCGACAGATGTGCTGTGGACATGAATGATACACGTTCCTAAGAGCAAGTTAGACTTGCTGTTTTGGTAATGGGTTGATAATGAGGGCAGATTAAAACCCCTGTCTTCTTCTGCAAACAATCAGGATCCAGGTTGCTGGAGTGGAAGAGAAGCAATGCTAATCAAGATGTGCATTTCTGTGTAGTTACCGGTAAGAAGACCAGAAGGATAAGAGGAGAAGGAATGAGTTTAGAATTCAACACTTCACATCTCATAGAAATTTTAGTTTTTATCGAGAGGGATAGAAACTTTATTCTGTTTTTTTAAAGAAAGATTCTTAGCCAGGCAGAATTGCTGGCTAATTCAGTCTTTTTTTTTTTTTTTTTTTTTGCAAGTTCTTTCATTTTCCGTCATATAGCTGCAGAAATTGTTGTCAGGGGTGGAATATTCTTCTTTAGCAAGCCTTCCCTTTTCCCCTCCTGCTCAGCATACATTCTCTCATGGTGCTTAACTCAAGCCAGCTGTAAGTGGTTTCCTGGCCATATGATTCCTTTAGGCAGCACAATATATCTCCCTCCTCTTTCTCTGCCTCCCATCTCCATCCATTCAAGACCTGGCTTATAAACCGAATGACGTTATGGCTCTGTTTGAGTTACATATGCAGCTTCCAGATGCTCTGATGAGTGGCTTGTTCTTTTGCCTATCTCAGAGGGTGGGGTTTTAAAACTGTTGGTTTTGATTATGAAAATAGCATTACCATATTCTCCTTTTGCAAAAAGACAGTTTTCTGGCAGTTCCTTTCCTGAAATATGAAAAACCCAAAGTCTGTCCTAATCTAGTGGCTCTATTTGAACGTAAACTGTATGTCATCCAAACATATCAAGAAAGCCTGCCATGATGGCTTTCGTTCTCGGCCTGTCGATTTATTCATTTTTCTTGATGCATTTTTTTCAAAGTACAAGACAGCTTACATCATCGAGGCTCCATTATTCAAATGCACACTGATGAATTTTGTTAAATAGAAGTAGCAAAGTTCAGCAGGAGGAATTTGTATTGGCACAATCTTGGTGTTTTAGAAACCAGGTAATTTGAGAAAATGATGGGTTGTGGTAGATCAGTGAAAGAGCTGGCTATCAGTGGCAATTGGTTTAGAATTAGATAACTGGATTCTGCCTCCAAAATTAAAAGAAGGGGGGGGGGTTCAAAAACCAGCTCCCAAGGAGTGGCAGTTGAAGAAAGTCCTGCTCATGAACCTTTAACTTGCCATGCCACAATGACTCAGTAGTCAACTAGATGGGCTTTGAAGCTGATCCTACGAGGGTTTGTATTTTTTTTTTTTTTAAATACCAAAATGCTCTGAGCTGTATGTACGTCAGAGGGTTCCATGGGATTTTTTTGTTTATGCCAGCTTCCCACAAATGGCTGATTTCAGCAGAAATGCAGGCTTGGTTTTGATAGCAATTCCATTAGTTGGCAGGAAAAAGTATTAGGAATTTGGGACAGCTCCATGCCTTGCCACGTTTAAAAGGCAACAGGGAGAAATCTGAGCATTTACTTAATCCTGTATTTCCAGGAATCCTTGTACTCAGGGAAAATGAGCCTAAAACTGAGATGAACCCAAGGATGTTATTTGGAGAAATCATCCTGTCTGCACTGTAGTTGCTGGAAGCTACTTCTGATTAAATTGGTCAGGTGTATTTTATGGATGCAAAGGAATTCCAGCTTTCTGTTGGGCCTTCTATTCCTAGAAGCATTAATCAGAATGCAAACACTAACACTGAACAGAAGCTGCTGGCATTGTCTCTTTCTATGATCCCAAAAAGGTGTTGATACCTCCGTGCAAAAACTTTTAGCATGCAGTTATTTTGAAAGCTAAATAAAAAAAAAAAACATTGGAGGGATGTATGTTTTAAAAGTCTCCCTAGGAAAAATATTAGTTTTAAAGAATTTTTTTAAAACTATTTGCATTTTTTAAAATGGTCTTGAATAATTCACATTGAGTATTCCTAAATTAGAGAGAAATGTTTATATATATAAACATTTGTTTATTGCTAAAAAGATATTTAAAAACAATAAAAACAACTATTTACAATGTTAAAAGAAACAACTTAGCTTTCGCTGGTCCCCTGCCTGCGTCCTCAGAGTAAAGCTTAAGGGGTGGGGGAGATTCTTTTTATACACCTTGCTGGCCTAAGTGCTTACTCATTGCCCGTGTGATAGGGCCATCCTTCCTGGCTAACTGTAATTGCCTTGGTTGTCCCACCTTCTCTTTTTTGCACTCCAGTTCCACACCTTTCCCCTCTCTCATCCTTGTCAATCTCCTCCCTCCCAGCACCATTGCTGCCGGTGTGCTCTCCAACCGCTCCCTCCCGCTCATTCCAGGCTGTGCACTCAGATCCAGTGTTCCAAAAGTCTTGCTATCAGCACTCCCTTCCTTTCTAGCCTGTTGGTCTACACACTGTTCCTGCCTTCCATCATCCATTCCTGTCACTCTTTTTTTCTCCAATTTCCCTCCACCCCCAGGTGTGTGCACGCTCTATCGTGCCTCATCGTTCTGCTCTGTCTGCCCACGACCTATCGGCTTGCTCTTAGGTTCAGCCTCTCTAGTCCTTGTTATCTAGTCCTTATCTCGCCCAACTGGTTTATACCTCTCCCGGAGATTGAAGGCTGTGTTATTGAACAAATATGCCCGGGATTCGCATTTTTGCAGAGTGAAGCGCGTTCACCAGGAGAGTTTAAAGTTAAAATACTTTAATTAAAGTATTTTACTATATTAAAAGGTTGCCAAGCTTTCGTTGGGAAAACTCCCCAACATCTTCAGGGCTGAGAGACCGTTTCTAACAAGGTGGTTTAAACGGGTTCCATAGACGTCTGCGCTTGGTTCCTAGACTCTGCCAGCATTCCCCGCTGAACAGCTGATAGGTGGGAGGGGGAATCGGAGTAAAGATTTCTTCCGTCGTTCTCTCGAGCACTTGTGTTCACATCTCCATTTGAATCATCCTCCTCCATCATGGTGTCCTCCATGCTCATCTTCCCTCGTAGGTCAATATTCAAGTTAAATCCCCCCCCATTTCTGTGAGCAAAAGTCTGTTGGTATTTGGGCAGATTCCCCGCTCATGTTACTTTCCCTTTTATCAAGCGAACGGGTCATCATCACATGTTTTTTCTCCCCTCTCTGTATGGGATATTCACTTTTATTATTATTATGGGTAGTGCTAAATTTAGTGGTTCTATCCTCAAATTTCTTAAGCGCTCCAATGTCATTATTGTTGTTTTCTCCAATTAAAGGGGGTGTGGTTTCCCCTTGATGTTGTTGGGAGGTTTCTGGGTAGTCTATATCAGATTGTTTCTGGTAGGGGGGAGGTGTAGCTCCTGGTTTAGAACGTTGTGGATGTTGATTGTAAGGTTTGTGATATAAAGGATGATGGTTTGAGTTCCATTTTCGTAGCGCTTGTTGTGCTGGGTGCAAGTCAATGTGACGATTGATTGAGTTTTTATTCGAGAACCAGGCTTCTTTTAGCAGCCGACCTCCCTTCGTGGCATCACTGGCTACGATAAGGGTGTTATTGAAGTCGAACTGATGGCCTTGTTGTGCCATATGCATCCAAAGTTGTGAGTGTGGTTCACCTCATTTTATGGCCAGTTTGTGTTCATGGAGGCGAGTTTTTAAGCGTTTGGCTGTTTCTCCCACATAGTTGCCTTCGCAGTTTTTGCAGTTGATCTTATAAACAATAGCAGATTTCTCCATGGTAGGTAGGGGGTCCTTTGGATGCATAATTTTTGATCGTAGGGTTTGGTTAGGTCTGTGAGCTACTTCTATACCATGGGGTGCTAGTAGTCTGGCTGTGGCCTCTGAGATGTTACTTATGTATGGGAGGGAGATGCGTGTTTTTTGTAGGGGGGAATCCCTTCTTCGTTGGGTGGTCCGGTGCTGGAAAGTTGTACAATGTCGTTTGATAAATTTTAATGGATAACCGTTATACATGCACGTATGGAAGAGGTGTCTCCTCTCTTCTTTCTTATATTCATCCGTGCTGCAGTGGGAGTCAACGCGTTTAAATAACGTTTTAATGCAGCTGATTTTATGGGAAACAGGATGATTACTCTGGTAATGGAGGATTCTATCCGTGTGGGTTGGTTTACGGAATACCTTCGTATGTAGGTATCCATCTGGTTGACGGTGGATGGAAACATCTAAGAAGGCAAGAGAATGTAGAGTGCCGGCTTAGTTGCTGTAGGAGGGTTGGTTGGCTGTGTTGGAGTTATTGTTTGTGGATTGTTCGGCTGTTTTGTAACATCCTGAGTAGCTGAGGTGCTGGCTGTGTGCCCATTAGTCTTTTGTATTGTAATGACCTGGTTAATGGATTTTCTGATGACATCCTGAGATCTAGTGTAGTGATATCCTGAGTTCTGTGTTGCACCATCCTGGGTGGTAGGCTGTGTTGTAACATCCTGAACTTTAGCATTGTAACCTCCCAATTTTACGTGGGAGAAAGCCCGAATAGCCAAAGACCTACATACAAACACCCGCGAAAACCTCAGGAAACATATACATACATACATACATACATACATACATACATACATACATACATACATATAATTTTAAAAATGCAAATATATATATTTATTGCTTTTCTTTTTCCTCTAAAAAAACTGTTTAAAAAGCCACCTAGAATATTGTAGTATAAACATAATAAAACAGACTAGGTTTTTACAAGTCAGCTTTTGGATTAGACTTTATATTAAGAGAAAGCCAGTTGTGTTTGTTAATCTGTGTTTGTTTATTTATTTATTTATTTGAAGAACTGCTACAAGGAATCTTGATTGCTTCTTTCATTTTTTTCTTCTAGTACCTTGTCCAAATGCTGCCATGCCACAGTGGCACTTCTTTACCCCTTTGCCTGGCAGCACACTTACATCCCGGTACTTCCCCCTTCAATGATTGACATTGTCTGCTCACCAACCCCATTTCTGATTGGCCTGCTCTCCAGTTCCTTGCCCCGCCTCAAGGAACTGCCAGTGGAAGAGGTGAGACAGACAACCTGAAGGTTGTGTTAAACCCAATTTGGCTTTAAGTTGCATGTGGGAAATCAGATATGGGACAATTCAATACCTTACTAGCCACATACTTTAACAATCTGTGAGCAGACAATGTTTTCAGCTGGAAACACATTGTGGCTCAGAGGGAGACCTTTTTAAAGCAGCACTTTTTAAACTTGACATTGTTAAGATGTGTGGACCTCAACTCCTCAAATTCCCAGTATACTGGCTGGGGAATTCTGGAGTTGGAGGTCTGCACATCTTAACATTGCCAAGTTTGAAAAACACTGATTTAAAACATGTATTAAAATTGCCTGCAGAAGTAAATAAAGTGCAGTGGTTGGGCTATAGGAAACTGGGGTACACTATGTAGAAATTATTTCTTTGAGAAGTTGCTCTAATGCCTGCCTTCTCTATTTTTTCAGCCCTTTTAGTCTTATTTTTTTATTAAGTTTTTTTAAAAAAAAAAGTTATCTGAAGCTTTTTTAAAGACCATATTTATACTTGCTTTATCATCTTCTTTCAGAGTGAGATGTAGATTTTTCAGTGTTGTTTTGAAAATGTTTACGTAAGACGCCTTCGGGGGGAAAATTGCTTTGAGAAGCAGCAGATCCATTTTTTAAACAAATAACCAAATTAAACACACATTGAATAATCCTGTGCTTCCATCATTGAAAAGCAAGCAGCTATCTCTCATTTTAACTCACCCCATTGCTGCTCTCTGTTGTGTGGCAACTCAGGCGGGAAAATTCCTGAGCAGAAAGCTCTCTCTCTCTCTCTCTCTCTCTCTCTCTCTCTCTCTCTCTCTCTCTCTCTCTCTCTCTCTCTCTCTCTCTCTCTCTCTCTCTCTCTCTCTCAGGGGGGAGAGAGGAGAGAAGGGAGAGAGAGAGAGAGAAATGAAGAACAGCTTCCATGTGTTTCAGTTGTCAGCCTGTGGTTTTGTGGTGAAATTCATAAAGCCAACCTATGATCAGACTGGGTTTCATATCTTTTTGTGGCTCATGGGATTAAATTAACGAAATGCAGCCTTTTCTCCTGAAAGCTGCAAAGCGCACAAACATTTTCTCAAGGACATCAGTGTACTTCTTCCCTCTAACCCTGGAGTGTAGAAACCTGGATCAAAGCTGGAAGTGTCCTTTAACTGGTGCATTGGGAATGTCTCTTCCAAAGGGGTGGGGCCAGGATAATAACTAATTTAAATTTCCCTTTTATTTACTTGATATATAGCTTAGATATATTTAAGGAAATTCTTCAAGAATTTCCTTCTGTCCTACCTAAAATTACACTTTATTTAACAATTTTTGAGGAATTTGAGTTCTGTATGCAAGACTTTTAGAGAGCTCTTAAGCTCTAATGTTCTCTCTCTCTTTTTATGTGTATTTATTGGTGGCCAGGTCCTTGTGGTTGACCTTGTTAATAACCGGTTCCTTAGACAGGTAAGCATAACTTATTTTTCAGTCTTTTTTCTTTTTAATTTGTTCAGGGAGAATGGAAGGATGGGGAAAACTTTTGCTGAAAATCATTTGATACTGGATATAGCCTATCACTTTCTTAATTCCTGTAAATCCAAAGAGAGTCGTGGGAAATCTAGCCTAGAAACAGATAGCCATCCAAAGCTGAGAATTTACAAGTAACAGTGCTTTTCCGAGGGTGCATGCATATCGTTTTATCCTGACATCTCCTCTGATCAGCAGTTTCAGAAGCATCAAACCATCCTAAAGCCTGTCAGAATTATTGGGTGCAAGTGAAAGTGCAGAAAGGAAAATAATTGAAATGGTGACCCTTAGTTTTGAGAGAAAAAGAAAGATTGACTACGTGCTTCCTTTTCCAGCCAGAATTATTGTACTTTGAGAATATCTCTCTTAGCCAAAGCCACCAAATATGGTGGTTGTTGTGGGGAAAGTAGGAAGAAGTAGTATTGGTATGTTTGCCACTTGAGTTGTATATGTGTGTGTGTGTGTATGTATACACCAGTGTTTCTCAATGCTGGCTGTGGAATTCTGGGAGTTGAAGTCCACATGCCTTAAAATTGTCAAGGTTGAGAAACACTGGTATACACAAACACGCACGCGCACACACACACACAGAGTTAAGAGGGGCCAAAAGCCCTGCTCAGGATATCAGAAAAGGAGATATAAATGCCAATGGAAAGTTTGCAACTGCCAGGTGTATGCTGCATTGTCTTTTATTGGCAATTTTCCTGTGTGTTTTATTGCTCCATTCTCCAGACAAAAGGATACCAATTAAGGAGAAAGGATGGAATATCTTCTCAGTGACTTACCCCTTGGCAGCATTAGGATCTGTTCAATTAGAAGCTATTTTTGTCCTCAGAGTTGAGTCTGGAGCTAATTAAATGGAACCCATGGACCAAGATGGAATCTATTATAATTGTATCCTTCAACATTCGTAAGCGCCAAATGCCATTTAATGCCTATCCTTTTAACTTGACCATATCCACAAGGGGGAAAGGTATCCCATACATTTAATAGAAAATGGAGATTTTGCAGATGCCCATGAAAGATCAAAAAAAACAATCTTCAAAAACGTTCTGTCATTTTTCTCAGGCTGTCTGAAGCTCAAACAGCCTCGAGTATATGAAATATGTATGTTCTTTCACAGATTCAAAAAGCAGATTTGTAGAACAAGAGCAGTATTGTCAACTTGGTCTCCTTACATGCAGGATCCGGTTTCATGCCAGCTTTTTGAATGAATGCTTTTCTTTGCAGATGGAAGATGAAGATTCTATTTTGCCCCGGAAGTTGCAAGGAGCCCTTGAACACATCCTGGAGCAGAGAAATGAACTGGCAAATGACAAGGAGGAAGTCATGCTCAATGGCAAACAGGGTTGGTTTTTTTAAAAAAAATTAACATTTGGTAGTCTTTTTTTTTTTTTTTTGACAATGTTCAGTATTGTACTTAGTATAGCTTTCCCCAGTTTTATGCTATCTAATTATTTGGACATGATTACAAACTGGTGCAGATCAGAAGCTCTGTGAAGGAGTCTAGTATGCAGAGATGATTACTTTGTACATGTAACTTTGTTCCCACCAAATTCTTTATCCTTGATTGTGTAAACTATTATGAGAAGAAGCATAGTCATCTATCTGAGTCTATTTTCACTGTATACTCCTAAGCATTATATGCATGGGGAGGGGGAGAGAGAAAAAATCTCCACTTTCTTTATAGCAGGCATAAATTATCTTTTTTCTTCCAAATTGAAAAGACCAAAAAATGCTTGCTTTGATCCTTTAGATCAGTGATGGTGAACCTATGGCACACGTGCCAGAGGTGGCACTCGGAGCCCTATCTGTGGGCACACGCACCGTCGCCCCAGCCCCACCTCCTCCCATGGCCACCTCCTCACCAGCACCCCCCCTGGAGGAGAGTCACCCCCAGGCACAGCCCTCGTGAAGCACCGCAGCCAAGGACATGGTAGCTGGGCAGCAGGGACAAGACTCTGCCCTTGCTGCGGGGCATGGGCGGAGGGCATGGCCGCCATGGCACTGTTGGGCCACTTGGGTGATCTGTGGCGGGCCGTGGAGGTGGTGGGTGGCCCAGCGGGCAAGACGGAGCAGGGTCAGGTGTGGGGGCGGTTTTGGGGCACTTGCTCTCTAAAAGAGTCATAATCACTGATCTAGATGCTCCACTTTCCCCACCAGACTTTTGGGAAAAACTGCCAATATTGGAAGTTTTTGGAAGCCCTTCTGACAGTTGTGAAGGAGCTGGCAAAAATGGATTTAACATGGTTGATGTTACATGTATACAACCGCCTTAAACTATGTGAAGTTACTGGCATATTTAATGAGGTATTTAGGTGTGGCTAGATGTTCCTGAATTTCAGCATGCAGCAACCTCAGCCACTGTGACAAATTATGAAGGATTTGGGATACTTAAGCAACATATGAGTTGCAGGTTACCCCCACCTCGTATGTTTATTAGCAGTGTCTCTCCAGGTTTTCAAGAAAGGATCTTTCTCAGTCCCATGGGAAGACATCATTATCTTCTGTGTTCTGCATTGGTTAGATCAACCTGGGATATCCCATCCACTTCTGGCATTGTAGCTTAGATCATTAACAAATTGGAGGATGTCCAAAATAGAGCTATGGAGACAGCAAGGATCCTGGAAGGGAAAAATATTTGAGGAACAGTCAAAAGTATGACTGTGTTTAACCTAGAGAAGAGTACAGGAAGACGCATTAGTTGTCTTCAAGTATTTGAAGACGTGTCATGTAGAAATCAAGATAGTACAGTTCCAGAACATGGAATAGGAAGCAACGACTTGAAGTTATAATGAGTTATAGAATAGGAGCAAAAAATATCTTAACAATTGTTCTAAAACAAGAGATGTCAAATTCTGTATGGTTAGGAATGTTTAAATAGAGATTGAATTTGCTGGGGTTGCTATAGTAATGGGATTTTGCTCTGGGCAAGAATTGGATTAGATGATATCCCCGATCCTTTCTAGTTCTTATCTTCTGTAATTCTGTGTTGAAGATAGTACTAAAAACCTTTTGAATGCAAAGCACAATCACTGTCCATGAGAGATCGGTCCTCCTTGATGTGGTGGAATAGATCTGGAGATTAGCAAAAAACAGTTAAGAAAGATCACTAAACCCTAGCATATTTTTCTTCTCTTTTTATTTCATTCTTTCTTTTCCCTTTCCTCAATTTCCATACAATGTCCCCTCAGAGTCCAGCCCTCTGAATGAAATGGTGTCAGAAGCTTTTGTCCGCTTCTTTGTGGAGATTGTAGGACACTACTCTCTTTTCATGATTCCTGCTGAGAGGGAAGAAAAGACTCTCCAGCGGGAAGCTTTCCGAAAGTCTGTTTCTTCAAAGAGCCTTCGGAGGTTCCTGGAAGTTTTTATGGAGACTCAGATGTTTGGAGGCTTCATTCAAGAACGAGAATTACGAAAACAGGGAGCCAAAGGTGAGATAATCCTCTGTCTCCTCAGCATTATCATACTGATAGCAGTTCTCCAGAATAGAACTTTCCAACCCCTTTTTGGAGGAGCCTGGGATAGAACGTGAGACCTTTTATCTGAAAAATATGAATTGTCCTACTGATTCCTGATACTTAGCGGATCAAGTACAGTCTTAGTCTGCTTTGCTTTTTTAAACATAATAATGTTCCCCAATTGGTAGTAGCAACTGAAACTAACAACCTTAACGCTTAGTCTTTCTTGTTATGGTAGTTGTTCTTGATCTCTCTAGGTTTGTTTGAGGTACGTGCCCAGGAATATCTGGAGACCCTTCCCAGTGAAGAACAGAGCGGAGTTAATAAATTCTTGAAAGGATTAGGTAAGGGATCCAAGCAAGTGCAGCTGCTGCAGTGATCATGATTTTAATATTTTTTTACCCTACCATGTTTAAATCACAGACACAATTGTGCACTTGTTATCTATGTTTTAGATCAGTGATCCCTAATCTTTTGGGCATTGTGGACCAGTTCCATGGGAAATGATTTTTCCATGGACTACGGGTGACATGGTTTCACGCGATACCTAAATCCCATGTATGTGCAGATGAAGCTTTGCTTACTTGTGTGGCCCAGCTCCTAATGGGCCGTGGACTGGTACTGGTCCACAGACCGGGGATTGGGGATCCTTGTTTTAGATAATGTAACATAAGGTGGGAAAAAGCATTTTTTGAACCTGAAAAGTCTTCAAATATTAACTATAGTAAACATTTGCTTTTTACCTTCCAAAATACTTCCTGCCCATCACATCCCTGCTTAATAAGAAAGTAGACTTCGCACATAAGTTGATGGTGAACATATAAGTTTAATAATCTTTATAGAATCACCTCTAACTTCTGTGGCTACAGTCTCATGACATTTCCAAAATTTTCAGAGCATAAATTCTGCAAGTCCAGGAGATTTCAGGTGCCATGGTAGGGGTCATTTTGCAATCTCCCATGAAGGCATCCTCAAAAGATGGCAGAGCTAGGACCTCTGCTATTTGGCCTCAGCTCCATGGAGATGCTCACGTGGAAAGGTTGGAGACTCAAACGTTGTCTTTTCTGCAGGTAAAGAAGGTGTATTTTTCTTTCCCTAAATATTGTCTCTCTTCTTTCTTTTCCCACCATTCCTCTCTAGGTAGCAGAATGAAATTTCTTCATAAGAAATAAGTGTTTGGAGCACCACCAGGCGTGGAGAGAAGGATATCTCTTCTAAGCATTTCAGCAGACACAACATGGACCCCTTTTGTTTTTTTCCATTTTAAAACCAAGTCCAGCTTAGCCTGCTCCAATAGTGGACAAACCTCAAGAGACGCAGTGTTTAAAAGCTGCACCTGGGTGAACTGCTGACCTCTGGCCTCCTATACACCATGGCGCAGAAGGGGCCTCCAGGATTGGCTGGATGAAGAAATTGCACTGGACAAACCACTCCCCAACCTCTCTGTTTACTGCAGATTTTGTGGTGATTTTTAAGACCTTAGCTATTATATTTTTTTGAAAATGTTTCTTATTTATGCTGAGGTTAGGAAGATATTAGGCAGAGACATTTGTTCCTTTTACTCTCCCAAGGGATGACAGCAAGGATAGGCACTGCCATAACTTGGATTGTACAATTGTAAAATGACACAAAGTGATACAGAAATAATGAGAAGAGAAAGAAAAGGCAAGGAAAAGAAGAGCTCTTACACACCAGTAAGTGTGGTGGTGATGGGGACTACTGAAACCATTCAGAATTTTATCCAACTGACCACTGTCTGATGACTTACTGCCCCTTTCTGGACTTTGGGACATATGTCCACACCTTTCTTCAGAGTAAGTCTGATTTGTTTCAATCGGAAATATATGTTTATTAAAACAAAAAAGCACGTGTTTAGTTCCATATAGTGTATGTAGCTTGTTTTGTTGTGTTTATCTTCTGGAGTAAAATTCAGAGGATGATTTGTAGGGCAGAAACAGTCTTTTGAAGAACCTTCCCACCCATCCCCCTTCCCCCAAGGAATTGAAAAAATGTCTGAAAGCCTTTAAGGGTAGATTGGATCAGACATGTCAAACTCGCGACATATCGGAACTTTTTCCCCATTGCCGGCAATGGGGTGGGTGCAGTTTCCTCGTGATGCATCTGGCCCGCGGGCCAGCAGTTTGACACCCCTGGATTGGATGGTTTTGGTGATGGAATTATAGGCCCTCCCTAGTGGCCAGGGCAGTTGTGGAACAGTTGCCTTCTGTCATTGCATTCCTCTTGAGTTATTCAATGTTTGTTTGCAGGGCGATTCATACATGGAAGCATATTTTTTTATTTTGTTTCCTTTATTTACACAACAATGATATGTGTGAAGTAACACCATTGATAAGTACCATTTCTGACACACAGATCACACCCGTGATGTGAAATTTATGGCAACCTGTTTGTACCTTCAAGTCAACAAAGCATAAAGGCGCCAGGACAAGGTTATGCACACATCCACACCTTTCTCTTTCTGTAAATCTAAATAAAGAGGACTTTTTGTGCTCTTGCCCAGAGTAAGAGATTACCATGGGGTTCCAATTTTAGGTGTGACAACTAATGGGAATGCACTGAAGGGTAATGCCCTGGAGGAAAGTGAGGCTGACCACTGGGGGTCTCTTGCTTAAAATATTACATGTGTACGAACTCCGCTCCAACTTCTACTAAGCTTTAGCCTAGTGGTAAAAAAAGGGGAAGCAAAATTGTACCTAAGATATATTCAATAGCTTGATATATTCAACTCCAGTATTGTTCAGAGCTGAAAAAACTTATTTTTAGAAATTCTGGAGAGTCTCTGAAACACATATATGTATAGCCCCCATCATGTTACTCCTTTTCAGTATAAACAGTGTTATGCAAAATGAAGAACAAAAGTAATAAGCAAAATAAATAAAAGGAACATGGTAAGGGAAAAAAAGGAAATCTGTTTGAAGTATTCACTGCTCCTCCAAGGTGAAATCATCAAGATAAAGGCATCCTTTTATAACACTTCGAATAATGCAGGTAAAGTATAGCTTGGAAAGATTGCTTATTCAGCAGCAATTTTCATGGTCAAGATCATTTATTTAATTCATCTCCATCCCAATATACATTGAAATATATACATTTATTTAATTCATCTCCATCCCAATATACATTGATCAACTTTTCACTGAGACTTTATATTTTATCTTTCCTGGATACTCCGGAAGAAACCACCTGGAAAGGAAAAATACAGTCCATGAAGAAAATATTTTGGTTGAGTTATCAGCAGCCACATCTTCCCGAGTGAACTTATCACTTATATGGATATAGGAAAAACTTGGCTGGAATATGCCCAAGGATTGTAGTATTATAATGGTGAACAATGGCAGGTCATTGCTTATGTTAAAACCACCCCTAGTACATCAGGGTAAGGCTGAGGACAATGACGCATGTGAACATTCCTTTTCCTTCTTCCCTCCAAAAGTCAGAAGATGGGAATACCGCTGGAGCAACACTGAAGAATACAGGTGGATGTCAATGACATCTCCTGCCTAGTCATGTGAACACGACGATGGAGAAATGCAATTTATACAATTAAACAGGAAATTATTTTTAAATATGGATAGGGCCACCACAAGATCAAATTTGAGCTGGATCGTTGAGATCAAGGCTGGAAGGACATCGTGAGTGCACTTTTAAAGGGTTAGACCTTGGGGGGGGGGTGTTTTTTAATCATTGCGGGAGAAATTGATGCCAAAGCCAATGGCAAAATCTTTCACATGTGGTTTTTTTAAATACAGGAGGAAGAGTACAAAGATTGCAGAAACATCCTAAATCTGTCAAATTTTCATTCCATGTGGCCTTACAGCGCCCTCTGTTGCCTGTTGCTTGAAGACAGCATTTGAAACCATAATTCACCAGTCTTTTACTGGGCACTGTCAAATCTGATTATAGACATCAATATTACAGAGGATGTATTTGTACATACCTGGAAAGCTTTCACTGATCTCTTAATTTTCTGTGGAAAAGTTAATTTTCTTCTTGTATTAAGGATCATAATGTGTAATATGGAATGATCCAGATGTAAGGGCATTTATTTAAATATTCAGATTAGTCACTATTATTCCTTCAAAAGTTGGAAGCAATGTACATAATTCACTCTCTTTCAATGTTTCTCCATAACATCTCACAAGGAAGGTTGGATTGAGAGAGAGAGAGATAGTGACTATCCTATTGAGGGTCCTTTGGTATTCTTTGAGCTTGGCTGTTTTCTTGTAGACATTTCATTACCAAACTAGAAACATCTGCAAGAAAACAATCAAACTCAGAGAAGAGCAAAGAGCCCACCGTTCAACCCTGAGCTTCAAATATTCTTTTATACTGATAACCCATGAACTTTATTGGTGAAGTTGAATTTTATTTTGGTTCTTCCCCTGCCCATCAGTCCTAATACAATATTTTAGCCACTACATCACATTAGCGCTCACTGAGAACAAGCACTGTGCTGATTTCTGTAAGGAATATTTGACAATGGGAGAAGAATCCCATTCCCTTGTATTTTGATGTACTGCGTAGTTTATGTGGTACCTGTTTGTGGGGAAACTGCTTTGAAGTCACACCTTCCCTTTGGAAGTTTGCAAGTGTAGAGGCCCAAGCAGCCTTCACAATCAGAAGGTTTTCGGCAGGCTTTCAACTGGATCCCAGGGCAGGAATACTGAGAAGGAAATAAAAGAAACTGCAGATAACAAGCCTTGTTCGAAAGTAAGAAATGTTGTCTCAATAATTCATTACCTTGTATAGTGTTTCTTGCTAGACTTATATTTTTATGGTGATCATGGACCAACTTAAGTAAAGCCTAAGGAAGTTGATGCTGATAGACAAACTCTGTCTCCAAGATGACAAGGGATAAAACTTTTTCCTACAATGTTTAGATAATATTCAGAAGCATCTTAGACAGATGCCTCCCTAAATAATAATAATAATAATAATAATAATAATAATAATAATAATAATAATAATAATAATAATAGTAATAATAATGTTGGAAGGGACCTTGGAGGTCATCTAGTCCAACCCCCTGCTCAGGCAGAAAACCCTATACCATTTCAGACAAATGGCTGTCCAGTCTCTTCTTAAAAACTTTCAGTGTTGGAGTATTCACAGCTTCTGGAGGCAGGTTGTTCCACTGATTAATTGTTCTAACTGTCAGCAAATTTCTCCTTAGTTCTAGGTTGCTTCTCTCTTTGATTAGTTTCCATCCATTGCTTCTTGTCCTTTAGGTGCTTTGGAGAATAGCTTGACTCCCTCTTCTTTGTGGCAACCACTGAGATATTGGAACATTGCTATCCTGTCCCCCCTCGTCCTTCTCTTCATTAAACTAGACATACCCAATTCCAGCAACCGTTCCTTATATGTTTTAGCCTCCAGTCCCCTAATCATCTTTGTTGCTTTTCTCTGTACTCTTTCTAGAGTCTCAACATCTTTTTTACATTGTGGTGACCAAAACTGGATGGAGTATTCCAAGTATGGCCTTACCAAGGCATTGTAAAGTGGTATTAACACTTCATGTGATCTTGATTCCCTCTGTTAACGCAGCCTAGCGCTGTGTTGGCTTTTTTGACAGCTGCAGCACACTGCTGGCTCATATTTAAGTGATTGTCCACTAGGGCTTTGAAATCCCTCTCACAGTTACTACTATTGAGCAAGGTACCACCTATACCAGTGTTTCTCAACCTTGGCAACTTTACGATGTGTGGACTAGCTGGAGAATTCTGGGAGTTGATGTCCACACATCGTAAAGTTGCCAAGGTTGAGAAACACTGACCTATACTATACCTGTACATTTGGTTTTTCTTGCCAAAAAGTAGAACCTACTTTTTCACCGTTGAATTTCATTTTGTTAGATAGAGTCCAATGTTCAAGTCTGTCAAGATCCTTCTGTATCTTAAGCCTGTCTTCTGGAGTGTTGGCTATTCCTGCCAGCTTGGTAATCATTAGAGTATAGGTAGTCCTTGCCTTATGATCACAATTGAGCCCAAAATTTCTGTTCCAAGTTTTGCTTCATTTTATGACTTTTCTTGCTGCAGTTGTTAAGTAAATCACTGCAGTGGGTAAGTTAGTAATATGGTTGTTAAGTGAATCTGGCTTCCCCATTGACTTGGCTTGTCAGAAGGTCACCAAAGGTGATCACATTGCAACCATCATAAATATGAGTCAGATGCTAAGCATCTGAATTTTAATCACATGACCATGGGGATGCTACAATGCTTGTAAATGTGAAAAGTGGTCATAAGTCTCTTTTTTCAGGGCAACTTTGAACAGTCACTAAATGAATATTTCCTTCTAATAAGAAAATTAGAGTTGCACAATTCAGTTATGGCCACTCTCAATAAAAGTAGTTTTAGTTTTCTTGTAGTAATGATTTCTTGGTCTGCTCTACCCAGTGGGCCTGACACTAACCTTTATTAGCGAAACCTTATTAGAGTCGCTTTTGTCAAAGGAGAAAGTGTCATTCCTTTTTAATAGGGCAATCTTGTTGTGCATGCACTGCTTTCATCTTTATTCTAGAATTTCAGTTAGAAACATTGCATCTGTTGGCTTTTTGGTTGTCATCTATCGGCTTTAAGGAATGAGGATTAATTTAAGGCAGGGCAGTTTGCAAATATTTCCTTAATATTGTGGCTTGATGAAATAAAAAAAAAAATCTGTGTAATTTTTCTAACTGCAGTTCGTCCCTTCGGCACATTTAACTGCCACAACACCATTCCCCTGCTAATCTGACAAAAAACTCAACTACATTTTATTTCCAGCAAGAATTGGAAGAGCATTTCAGGATCAGACCAAAATTAATTTAAAAAGATATTACTCACCGTATCTGTATTAAAGTTCCCGTGGCCTTCCAAGTGGGCCTCAAGCCCTTGAGTCTTGCTCTTTGAAGGGGAGAGTGGGAGAAACGGCCTCTTGCCAGTTGGCTTCTGCTTACTGGTTCTCAGTTGCAAATTGCTTGTTGCTTTGTCATTTGCTCCATCACCTACTGGTAGTTGAGTTTCTCCTTCTGCAGCCTTCCACGATCTAGGGGAAGACTGTTTCCTCCCTTCTGCTTCTTTGTCTTTGTGACTGGGGTGGAGATTCTTCTTAAATTTTGCAGCTCCAGCAGGGTTGACTTCAGCAGCCAGCCCTTTCCCAGCTTGAATCAGAAAATAAAACAGCATGGAAAGCACAAGGACAGTCATTCTAGATACCTTCATAATGTTGTTCTTGCCCAACTATCTAAAGGGATGCAGTTGCCTTGGAGCCTGTTGGAGAAATTTTAAACAGCCACACACACTTGAGTGTGTCTCTCTTCTTTTCCATGCATGGATGTTGGAAGCCTTTTATGCTTTCAGTGTCCCAGCTCATCCCCCTCACCCCATCCTCTCTTACACAAACGCACACCTTTTTCCCCCTTTGTTATGATATTAATTTTATGTCTTGTGTCACTTCCTTGGAAAATTTCTTCCTCCTTCCTCCCCCTTTCTCCATCCCAGTAACACCCAACTTCTTTGCAAACATGTACTCTCATTCAGGCATGTGCCTAATGCCATCTTTCTCCTTCATTGTGATAATGGAACATTTCCTACTCCTCCCTTTTTGGGGGATGAGCAGGTACTCAAAGGCACTTTGAGAACTTTGCTGGTTGAAGAAAGAATGAAAGAAAACATTCTGCCTAATGAGCAAGTGATGAGTACATCTTTTTTTCCCCCTCTGTTCTTCTGTAGAAGTATTAATCATTCCTGATTTTTTTTTTTTTTTTTTGGTTGTTGTTGTTCCTCAACTGATTCAACTAGGAACAACAGTTCGGTCCATGTCAGTGGCAGTGATAATCCATTCTGTCCCATTGTTTCTACTAAAACTATTACCATATTTCTCCCTCTAAAACATGGATTTTTATGTATTTTTGAGACTAGCACGGCACCTCTAAATTAGAAAATATGAACTTTGAGGAATATTTGAGTTTCAATTTATGCATTAATTTAGGTAGATTGTTTAAACACTTGTTTAAAAATACAGCCTAAATCAAGTTCTCCAGCATCACTGAATCATTTTTGCTCTGTTAGAATTATGAGTAAAGGCATTTTAGGTATACTTCATCAAAGATAATATATCTTCCAATACTGTACTGTTTTAAATAAGCAATATGCAAAATCAGATTTCCAGAGTGGGATACAAGCTCCATTTAGGGAGAGCTTTGGAAACACTGCACAAAAATGAGAATATTACTCCTCCTGATAACAGCATCTCTAACCAGAAGCTGCACAACTTTGCCTAGTATATTGCTTATTCCCACAACAATTAAAAGTAGGAACCAGGCAGATTAAGGAAATACCTGCAAATGTGCATGATCAAGTGTAGATATAATTCTTTTTTTTAGTACAAGGTTTAGGTTGAGCTTTTTATTTTTATTAGTACATAGTAAACAGAATTAGAATAATATAGAATAGGGCACAGGGAGATTTAGGCGCTCTTTTTTCCCTTCCACATGCAAGGACTGGAGGAGAAACAGAAGAAAATCTTCAACTCCAACTAAGACAACTTCCATATCTTGGCCACAGGCCATCTCTGAGCCTTGAGCCTTGCCAAGCTCACGCTGGTGCTGCTGATCTCTGGAGAAACGGGCTCATAAGAACGGAGGGAAAGACTGGCTGAGAGGAGGCCCATCCGGATGCAGTTATCCGTGTCCTCCCCAGCAAGCAGCCCAGTGATGATTCCAGCCATTAAACTGCAAAGAAAAGAGGCAGTTTGGGTTGAATTCGACCATAAACTAGGATGGGGGATAAGCATGGAATATGAATGTTAAGAACATTTTCACCACCTTTGTCCCTCCCTGCTCTCTGAAGTAACTTCATAGTATATACCTTTCCATATATCTTCCAGATACTAGCAGCAGCACCCCAAAAATTTATACCTAGCGAGAACCATGCATGCTCCTACTGTCCCATTTCTTGACCAATCACTCTGGTGGGAGGGGGAAGGAGATGGCAAAACTTCCCCTTGGGACAACAATGGAGGATGTGGACTTTTGACTTGCCGATAGAAAAGGGGGAAACTCATGTTGACAAGCAGAGGCAGGAGTTTTCTATCTCTTAGAAGCCAACTGGTCCATAGATTCAGAACACTGCAAAATCTTTTTGCAAAACACTGTAAGAGGATCTGAGCTGCTTCTTTATCAATTCACGTTCTCAAGGAGTCCAGAGGGGCATTGTCAATATCACAAGAGCATGGTCTTTGCATATGGAAGGCATCTCTGCTCACCATTCCTGAGCAATTAAGTGCATGCTGGGAATTACAATTCAGGAAGATATGGAGGACCACTGTTTTTCAATGCCTTCCAGATAAGTAGATGACACCCTTATTCTCAACATAGTCAGACATCAGGAGCAGGGCATGTGAGCTCCTGCAGCCAGCAATAAAATTGCAGAGTGGAAAATGCCAGTTGGGTTGCCAACTTCAATTCTGTTGTGGCCAGAAATGCAAAATAAAGTACCCTTTAAGCAAAGGCTGCTGAAACTCTGCTTGAACAGATCCAGTGTGGACCCTTATCCAACAATAGTTAAAGTCAATAAGAGGTTCAGCCACTGGCTATTAATAGATTTTTAAAAAAGCAATTTGATATTCCACTGTCAGAAACACAAGACACCTGCCCAGAGTTTGTACATAGCAACAAAGTTCCCTTGTGCTTTATCCTGTGTCCCTCCTATGCCCACCAACCAATCAGGATATTCTTTTTAATGGAATTGTCTCACTATTCCTCCCAAAACAAAAGAGAAACACAAAAAATATCTCTCTGGTTGGTCCATTTTGAACAAATGAGTTAATGGTTTATCTACAGCCAAAGTCAAATTGGACACAGAGGGGAGCCATGGTGGTGCAGTGGTTAGAATGCAGTAGTGCAGACTAACTCTGCCCACAGCCTAGAGTTTGATTCTGATGGACTCAAGATTGACCCATCCCTCCATTCCTCTGAGGTTGGTAAAAAGAGGACCCAGATTGTTGGGTACAATATGCTGATATTGCAAACCGCTCAGAGAGTGCTGTAAATCACTATGGAGTGGTATATAAGTTTAAGTGCTATTGCTAAATGCTAACTCAGAGCATTGCCCAAATATAATTAAGCAAATAAACAAGTTATCAATTGCAGCTGGATAGTTCCCAAACCCTGACCATGTCATCAACGACCTCAGTGAGAGGTTGTCACATGATTTGTCATGACAAAAGGGAAAATTAGAACTGAGGCAGCTTTATATTCCCTCTATCATGGGCTGGGGATGAGATGGAGGTAATGTAGCAAGGAGATATATTTTAAAAATATTTCTCAAGGCATCTTCACGTCACAGTAAGTGGGACATATATAACATACTATTGTTTCTGTCACTATTGGACAAGAAAGAAATGTACAGAACCATGACAATTTTCTTACATGGTCTCTACTGGCCCTTCTTGCAATGAGATATATTTTCGAGCAATTTAGGTAACTTAGTGCCAAAAATATGAATAGATTGGTACAAAATATACACATATCTTGTGTACTGACTCACATCAATAAAAATAGTATTCAGTACATGAAATAGACTTGAATTGGATAGCCCAGAATTGCCCTCTACATTACCTGATGCTCCTGGGAAAGATACACTAAAAAGTTTTGTGGTTTTTTTTTACAACATTGTGTCTCCAAGCACATGAAGCAAAGCTTCAATTATCTTTCCAAAATGTAACCATAAAATATAACTCCATGTATTTTTCTTTCACAACAATGCAAAAAAGTAACGGCTTACAACAAGCTTTCTGTCTCTCACCATGTCCAAATAAATATTTGGGCTAGTGCTTTCCTTAGCAATGCTACATACCTCCATGCGCTGTTATGTTGTCACAGCAACCTAAGTGTTAAAGATCTAACAGAGGGAGGTGGAACACTGTACAGCCATGGCACACATTCAATGAACAATTAGCAGTATATACAGTACCTATCACCAGCTCCAGAGACATTCACTATCTCTTCAGTGGGGACAGGGAGCGCTGGGTAGTGAACAGCACGTAATTCTCCTGTAGCATTCTGTAAAATGAAATGGGAGAATTCAAGGAGCTAGGCCTGGAGTCAAGCGTAAGGTGCCTTCCTGCTCTTCTGATAAATACTAAAATTCTGTGTAGGTAAAGGTGAACATGACACAAGAAGAAAATTTCCTTACTATCAAGCCTGATTGGAGAAAAGTGATGGTATGAATTGAACTCACAGCCCTCAAGTATCACAGTTGAAACGGGAACAGAGCAGGAGAATTGACTATAATCAACAATTGAAAAGGAAGCAATGAGAAGAGGCACTATTCCCCATATTAAAGTGTCCGTTTTCATGGTTACAAACACAAATCTATAATTTACAAATGATGAGAATGGACTTTTTCATTTTCAGATGTTTGAACTTTTAAAGGCACGTTATCAGTCCTCACTATTAAAGGGAAGATTTCTTCTGAACTTTCAAATCCAAAGAGGGACTGGTGTTCTAAATTTTTCCCTTTGTCTTTATAGTTTCATTTCCTTATCCGTAACAAATACCTAAAGGCATTTCCATATTGCCATTCTATCATTTACCATTTCTACTACTTAATCCTTCAAAAGCAGCTAGGAGATGATCTATTGCCAAATACACAATGCTGAGAACAAGAAGAATCACTGCCACATTCCAACCCATCACAGGGCATTCTCTCAATTATTCTATATATTGGGAAACTAATTATCTACAAGTCCCCATAGCTGTAACATATGAAAGAAAATGCAAGTTTTACTATCTGTTTTTCCCATATTTTTACCTCATAGCATGTTCGAGGGTGCAGAGAGACACTTCCACCCTTGCTTCGGCCACACAGCAGGACTCCATGTTGACCAAGAGTTACTACCACACAGTGTAGTCCTCTCAATAAAGGGTAGGCCAGGGCAATAGCAGTCTTGATAATGTCCTCCACCTTTGATGGTAGATCTGTAGGTTCCATTCCAGAAATGTAAAGAGTAAAACCCAGTCAGATAGCATTGAATTCATAATCAAACCATTCACTTGAGGTTTTTCAATATCACTAAGAGGGACTAGAAATTAGAATTAATTATTTACTAAATTTCAATTTCAAAAGAAATATGGGATAGATAATGAGAGAAGGAAATATATCAGTAACTATATCTGAATGGTGCCATTGACAATAATTATCTTCACAATAACAAATCTTTGAGATAAGTTGGTCTGCAACTATATGATTGGCTCCAAATAATCTATGGACAAAGGGAAATAGGGTTAGCTTGTAGTTGCTATGGTAATTTTTTTTTCAAGAACTGTCCAATTAGAGCTTTCTATGCGCTGAGTTTATAATAATAATAATAATAGTAGTAAAGTTGGAAGGGACCTTGGAGGTCATCTAGTCCAACCCCTTGGAAGTTCAAATCCTGTCATGGTGGAATTCTTTCAGAGGTCTGAACACAATAAAAAGAAGGAAATTGTTCTGGAATAAAATGAAAAAAAAATTCCAGATTGACACCCAGTAAATTGTTTAACTGAACACATCCATTGGGATAGACTTTTTATCCCCCACATCCTACATTTTAGTTAAGCCCTGGACAGAGACATGAAGAAATTCTACAATCTGAGAGTGGCTGCCAGTTATCTCAAACAAAGGATAGGCTGATATCAGATTGCAACACAAAATTTATAAAAGACCACCAAGAAATAATTTACTAGCCTGGTGGGTCCCTTTGGTATATTTTAAACATAAATAATCCATGAAAGTTGAAATTTTTTTATCCCTTTTTTTCCCTTTCCTTGTGTTAGCCATTTAAGAAAGCAGGAAAATAAGAAATCTGTGGCTTTGATTTATCGAGAGCATTCAATTTTCTTTAATTTTAGTTCTTTCGTTTATCCTTTTATTTAAGTAAATATTTTATAGCTAAGATTATGAGTGCACAACAGAGGAATGACTGATGAAGATGACAGAACTAGCAGAAATGCAATATTAATTTGTTTGATTAGGTCAACAACTAAGGAAACCCCTTATAGACATTTTGTTGAAAAAAATATGAACTTGTGATTTATGGGTTTGAAGGTTGGAAAGGGCAGCTTATGGAAAGAGGGACACTATTATGTAATTTTAGAGAGGGAGGAGAACATAGAAATGTATCTATAATTAATGTTAGGAAAACCAGAAGCTGCTTCTTTATAATGTTTCTTTTCCTTTCCTTATTTTCTTTTATATTTTCTTTTTTGCTATTATTTTTCTTTATTATATTTATTTTCTTTTACGTTTTTACTTTATTAAAAATGTCTGCAATAAAATTATATTAAAATTGCATTAATTATTGATGTCATTTATGATTTGCCTTTATTATGTGGTTTACAGGTTGTAGCTACCAATAGAGGGTTTTTTTTTTTCACTCAAACAGGTTACAAGGTTGGTTAAAATGTTCCAGATTTCCTCTTTGAATACTGTTATTTTAACCAACATCCAACTGAATCTCTCCTCTGGGAAAGGATATTTTTGAAAAAAAATATTGTTGTACTTTTTTTATATGCGATATCGTTTATTTCAGAAAATGTTAAAGGACTCAGAAGTATAACTAAGAGGAAGAAAAGTTTTAGTAAGCTGAGATTGTTGAAGTTGGGGATGCTTTTTTCACATTCTTCTGATAAAAAACAACTTTGCTCCAGATAGAGCAATTCATTTCGCAAAAAGTAAAAATTCAAAAACTGCCAGAGGAGCAGCAATATTTATCTAGCGATACTCCATCTTTATAGCTGACTGTAGACTTAGAGTCTTTTCCTACTGCTTAATCAAAATGTTATTTACCCAACCTTGAGTCAGCAGGACAATGTTATCATGAAAAGTTCTTTATCCACTGCCCATCTTTACTCTGTTGCACCAGCCCCTTAGCCTGATTGCTGAAATATGCTATTCTAATTTTGTTTGGAATAATTTGGTTTCCTTCCTTCTCTTCAGCATTTCAGCAGCAGACCAGAAAAATATCCACCAATCATATTGCATTTTTGCACATAATTTGCACGGTGCAAATTAGGAAAAGCCCTATGCGTGGTGGTGCCTCATTCATCATGGCTGGTTTAGGGGCCACAAATCACACAAAGGGGAACATAGCTCAGTGATAGATTCCTTGTTAGATTAATCTAAAGATCTAGAGATAAATTAATTATCTCTAATTAATTTAGAGATAATTTTCGTTATCTGTAAAAAATTTCCCACTAGCAACAAAGACTTTGGAGAGCCAATCCAAAGCCGAAAGATGATATTAAACTGTTACCCATTGGCTGATAATGTGTAAAGTTTAATAGTTCCAAGCTATAAATTATAAATACTTCTTTGTTACTGTCATTCCTAAATGTGCTTCACCTGTTGGCACAGGATTTCCCAGGGTCTGACTGATGGCTCTGAGTTCCCGAAGATTGGGAGATACGCAGGTCAGACCTTTCCAATTCTCTGAAACAAAAGGCTTTGAAGCTTTGTTCACATCTGTAGGTTCATAGTACACTTGAAAAAAGCATTGCATTTGGTCAGTGATTCTGACAAACATAAAGCATCATATTTAATCAAAAAGCTTCTATCTTTGCTTTTTTTGGATTAAACATAACTTTGAAGTTTTAGTTTTAGTCAGAGATTCTTATGGTCATTCGAAAGGATTAGGCTGAAATCAGTTTGCCTAGATAAGATGCACCTATCTTGCTAATTGTCTGATTAGCACAAAACTACTTTCTTCCCCCAAACTAGTTTCTTCTCTGTTGAGTTCTGAGTGTCAAGTTTGTCCAAACACTTCTTCCTTAATCTGTGAACAAACTAATATATTTCTTAGCTGCCTAAAACTGGCTGAATGTTAGAATTAGAAATAGGACAGATTACAGGTAGTACTCATATAAATGCTATAGATACATTTCACAATAAAAATTAAAACTCAAACACTGCGGCCAAAATTGTTGGATGACAACATCCAACTCTACTTCAAGCACTGGGTTATCCAGTGCCAATATGCCAAATGGGGTGCCTTGGACAAATTCTGAAGCTTCTCCCTGTAAAAGCAGGTTTAACAAGCTTGAAGGTCTCAAATGCAGAGCAAATAACAATCAATTCACCAGTCAATGGTAAAGGCAAAAAGGAATACTATTGTCTAGAAGGAAGCAACAACATAATTCAGATGTGAGATGAATTATGCCAGCTTCTATGAGATTACATTTTTAAATAGCATCATTTGGGGGGCTCTGGAAGTTGCTTTGGAGCACCCAGATTCTGCTCCTTTGTAATGATAACTATTAAAAAAGTAGAGGAATGAGATTGTATTTCATGCCTGTGCCATCAAGCTTCTTCTTACCTGTTAAGTGTTGTTCTCTGGCAATCTGACAGATGTACTCAAGGGTAGAAACTGGCACGTTCCCATCTATGCATATTATCGGAGCCAAGCACAGATTCTCCTTGAACTGTGACACCTGAATGGAATCGCAGGAGACAGTTGACAGTGGAAAAACCAAGTCGATTCTATGAATGTGACATCCCTTCTCAAAGTGCAGAATGCAAATCTTGTAGGTCGGTCATGTTCCATTTGGGCAAGATAATCTAGCAGGTCCCTTGGAAGGAGTGTTAGCCTATATCAATATTGTCACTTGAATGAAGGTGAAGGCAAGGTCTCCTTTGCATTAAGCTGTATTTGCATGTAGAGTTTTCACAGTAATAGAATTAGTTTGCCACTATCTTCTAGGATGTTGCTTGACATCTGCATCTAGTCTACAGCCCCCGGGTCTTCCAACCTGTTTTATACAATTCAGTATTCTCATGTTTATATTTCTCCTCACCGTGTGCTAATATTTTTTATTATCCCACAAATTTACTACTGTCTGAATGAGTTAAAGCTGACAGAGTGCGAGTCTCTCCTCCTTTATCTGAAGAATCAGGGCCTCTTCCTTGTGGCCAAATTAATATGCATTTCTCAAGTCTCTGAAGGGCAGAAAAGTATGCCTGAATAATTTGTACTGCCAATCTGAATTTATCTCCCTTGGTAATGAAGCTTACAAGAAGATGGTGGATTATACTGTCTTTGTTTCCGCTTTTACCCAGCATCATCAACCTATGAAGACAACAATCACATTTTTTTTCCTTCTTAGAAGTGTATCAGGGAAGGCTTGAGTGAATCTGGACTAGTATCTGGAACAGAGGTTTTAGATATCTTTCAAATTGTTAGATCACTAGTGACAGATTACTAATTCAGAATTGCTCCATGTTGGTAACCTGCCACTTGAATTCTTTCTGAACATGGGTCTTCTGAAAAACCAATAGAGTGTGTCGCCCAATCGTTTGGCTGACAGGCAGTGGGGCAAAGAAAGAATACAGGAATAAATGGGGGGTTGCCAACAAGGTACATCCAGAGACCTTCCTCCTGCTTCATCTCAGACCTAACCTCTCTCATATCCACCTATCAGCTGAGCTCTTTTTGCTTACAGGTTTACGACTCATTCTTGCTACCACTTGGCTACAAAGGTAAGCTGACAGTACTGAAGTCAATTTCACCAGTTGCCAAATAACTGGTTAAATGGTGTAGGGAAATACAATAATAATAACTAACTGCATGGTAGTAAGATAGCAGACTTTGTATAGACCAGTGTTTCCCAATCTTGGCAGCTCAAAAAATGTGTGGACTTCAATTCACAGCCATAGCTGACTGGGGAATTCTGGAAGTTGAAGTCCACACATCTTAGCGTTGCCAAGCTTGAGAAACACTGGCATAGACAGATAATCTGCTTTGAGTTTTGCTGGTTTATTACTTGGTTGATGTTCCAATTCACCTTGTGAACATAGCTACTACATTTCTGCTGTTTCAGTAGAGGAGGATGTACACATGTCTCTTTTACCTCTCAGAATGTTCTAGGATTGACAAAAAACCCTCCAGCCATTAAAAAAGTCACCTGCAAAGCAGCTTTCAACTAGGCTATATTTAAGCTGAAAAGTAACAGCTTTCATTGCAATGAAAAATCTATTTTATATAGAATAAAAATAAGGACCGTGGTTTCAAGCTAACTAGGTGTATATTTTTCTGCCTCTGCTATATAACAGCAACACCTACCCATCTGTCAATGTTCAGCATGTGAAAACTGGAACCAACATGCACACAAGAATCCTCAAATTCCTAACCAGTAATTTTTATTATAGAATCATAATGAAAGAATTTCGGCAACTAGTGTTTCAAGCACAAATCCTACTGAACTATCAAGCCCTTTTGTGCCCTCTTCTTTGGCTGCCTTATGTACTTGGCTTCCACTTTGGGAAGAGGAAAACTCCATCTGTTCCTTCAACAGAAAACAGTCTGATCTATCATTGTGTTGTCCTTCTCTGACTGCTTGAGAATTAACTCCCACACCATCTGCCTGTCAGAAACATGTTAGGAAGAAAAAGAGAGAGTGTATGAAATCGCCTTACATCAGACGTCCTATGTTTACACTTGAAACTCGGATAGTGGGATTTGTAGTCCAAAACCAAGATGCCTAACTCATGTTTTCTAATGCCAACGTCCATCTTCTTCAATGTGATCTACCCAAAGAACAGTGCTTCTTTGCAGCTTTTGTACAGTCCATATCTGCATGATATAACCTGTGCAATGGAAGGATTTGTATATTCGCTCAGATATAAACTTCGCTGGCTTCTGTGCAGCCTAAACCATGCAAATGGGTGAGTTAAGGCAGCAAATCAAACTGACCATTTTGCTCGATATATTGCATTAGTGATGCTTGAGTTACAAGCTGATGGGACAAGTCTAACTTTGCTAAAGGAGAGTCTAACTGAGCAATGTGATAATGTAAAATGGACACGGCTATGCTATGCACCACCAGTCTTACAGTTGGGGGTTCCCCCCCTTTTTTTCTTTTTCTTTTTAATGACTTAAGCTTCCTTTAGGGGGTCATCTAACAGTCTTTGTTTCTGCATTAAAACTTGAGGAAACTGAGCTGTTGATTCTCAGAAAACATACTATCAAAACTAGCAGCCCAAGTCAAAGTGGAATTCATTGTGACAACCTGCATTGCACAGACACAAACCCAGCCTTGAGGTAGGTTTTCCTGTCTGTCCTGCAACCTGCTTGTATCCCAAATCTTGGCTTAAAAGAACAGAAGGAAACACGAGAGCCCATTGTGTTGAGTCCGTCGCGAAATGGTAAGACACGAGAAGCAGTTGTAGTTCTCAGGAAACCTTTATTCTTCAGTTCAGCTTACATTGGAATATGGCGGCAAAAGCCCACAACTCGCAGCCTCCTTTTATAGGACTTTCCCGGGTCAATGTGTTACTTTTCGCGCGCCAGCACTTGCGCATGCGCGCAAGCGCTGGCGACAGCCTGTCTGGTCCCGGGCAGCTTGCACCTGCCCGGGACCGCCTGCAACGCCCTGAGCCCGCTTGCAAGGCTCAGGACATAACACCCCTTTCCCCCGGGCTAAAACTACGACCAATGCCAAATAATACACAACCCACTCTTAGTACAATGCTCTGCTCCCCTCCATGTTCGGAGTTCCCCCGTTTCCATTGCCTCAGTGTTTCTACCCTTCTACTGGCTCTGTTTAGCCAATAGTGTTATGTAATCCTCTAAGTACTTAGGAGATTTCCTTGCTCTCTGTGACCTCCTAAGCTCTGGGTGCTTGCTAGGTACTCCCTGACTGAGGGGTGATGTGTGTCTGTTCCCTCCATTATGCCTTGGTGATCCCCAAGGACTGTGCTCCAATGCCTGGCCTGCTTGCTTGCTTGCCCACCGGGCTCGTCAGGCCAGGGCTTCTTCCAGTGTATGACCTGGTTGTCCCGCCTAGCTGTAGGCTCTCTGGCCCTTCTAAGTGACTGTCACTGTTGGGCGTTTCTGTAGAACCTCCTAGGTCCGTCCAAGACCTGTCAGGATGCTGTCTATCCCCTGAATCCCGTTCTGTGTCCGGGCTTGTGTGGGTTTCAGTACTGTCCCAAAACTCAGTTGTCCCCTGAGTGTAGTCAGAGGTGTTGTAGTCGGGATTTGGTTCCTCGACCACCTCCCTGTGTGTTTGCCCCCTTCTAGGGACAGGGTTAAAGTCAGGCCAACTAGGAGGAGTGTGTGCCAGCTCTCTTGCAGGGAATGGATTGTTGGGATGCTCCCGGGTATTCTCTCTGACTGGAGTACTGGGTGATACGGGTGAAAAGTGATCATGCCCCCAGGTGACTCCCTGGCTGGAGTAGGCATGAATGCCTGATAACTGGTTAAGCTTCTAGAATTCCTGTTTGGAGCACTCGCGGAATTTTGGGATGGACCGTTTGTGGCTCCCTCATTGGTAAGGGGCAGCATTCCATGCCCCTCCCTTTGCCCAAAGGGCTCCCCCTCCCCCCTGGAAAAGACCCAGGAGTCTCAGCGGGAATGTCCCGTCTAGGGCGAAGTTGGTCAATGTGCCGATGCAGGACACGACCATTGTCCAGGGATACCTCGTAGGATAGAGGACCTGTGACCCTGGATATAGAAGTGGGGACCCATGTATGACCAGGCCCATAATTACGAGTCCAAACCGGGGCACCCACAAGTAGTTGCCTAGGTGCCCTGGGGTGTGAGACAGAAGGAGGCAGTCTGTCCGGATGCAACCGGTCAAGCTTGGTAGTCAGTTTGCACCCCCAACGAAGTTCAGCTGGGCTCCTCCCTGTAGAAGTGGACGGTGTGGTACGATAAGAAAGGAGGAAGTCAGCCAACCTGTGATGCCAGGCCCCATAGGTGAGCCTCTTCAAGGCGTCCTTGGTGATGCGAACCATGCGTTCAGCCATACCGTTGGTGGACGGGTGGAAAGGTGCAGAAGTGGCATGATGAATCATGTTAGCCTGCAAGAAAGCTTGGAATTCGGAGGAAGTGAATTGAGGGCCGTTGTCAGACACAATGACGTCTGGGAGCCCGTATGCAGCAAAAATCCCCCTCAGTACCTGAATAGTCTTTGCAGTGGTGGTGGAAGAGACAGGTACAATCTCAAGCCATTTTGAATGGCTGTCAACGAGGACCAAGAAGAATTGACCCTGAAAGGGCCCAGCGTAGTCAATGTGCACCCTAGACCATGGAGACTGTATTTCCTCCCATCTATGCACAGGAGCTTGGGGCATTTCAGGGCGTGAGCATTGACAAAGGTGGCAAGCATGCACCTTAGCTTCTATGTCTTTGTCTACACCTGGCCACCACAAGTGGCTGCGTGCAAGAGCCTTCATTCGTACAATGCCAGGATGACCCTCATGGAGGGAATCTAAGACCGTAGTCCTCATTGAGGTGGGAATGACAACTCTGCTTCCCCAAAGTGGACAACTCGTTCCTTTTAGACCAGAAACTCTGAAACTCAGGACTAGGACAGTGCTCAGGCCATCCAGACAAAACCCAAGAAAGGACACGTGAGAGTGTGTGATCTGTGCCTGATTCAGCGGCTACATCCCTGGCATTCAGGGGGGACTCGGGCAAGGCTTGAATGGA